CGTCTTCCCTTCAAAAACTTGGAATGATTTCAAATCATAGGCACCTTCACTTAACCCTAGCTTCCATTCATCAGCAAACACATCGGATCGATGCTACGCTAACCTATCGGGAGCTCACTCCGCGCGTCCAGGTAAGGGGAGCTTCGTAGTTTTCTACCATCTGTTTAAATTTTTTGTTTTTGTTTTATTTTTAAAGAATATAGATAGATCCAAGACCTGTAGTGAGAAGAGGTCTCTGAGTTGTGCCGTAAACAGTAAATTTAATTTGCATTCGTTTCTATTCTGTACGCCAACCTGCTGTCTAATTTCTCCGTACAAAGTAGCCCTGAAACATTATGATGCATATTTCTGCAGCTTAATCATTGTAACAATAGTATGGGATTAAGAGTTCGTGACTGCAAGAATCTCGCTTTTCGCGATATTGGGCTTACTTACTACTATCTTTTTACTTCAAAAAATAAAAAAATAAGAAAGCGGAGCCATAGGGTGGGGCTAGACTTTCTTCGGGAACTAACTTCTAAGTAAATACGAAGTGTAAATAAGAATCTTGCACACACACAAAAAGTTGAGGTTAAATTACAATCTCGTGGCTGGGGGATCGAGAAAAATGTCAGAGGATCGGTTGCAGAAAAATGTAAGCACATCATCCGGGAGGGGTACAGCGTGGTGGGCGTATTGTTGGCAAGGAACGGGAGAGAAAGATGTATAATTTAATGGTATATACAATCCACTGATCCTATTACCGTCCTCCCCGGAGCTCTTGTTAGTTTCAATGGGAGTGAGTGAAATTGACATCGACTTGCATTCCTGGTCATGTGCTTTTTTTTTCCTTTCTTTCTTCTCTTGTGATCTGAGAGCCCCTTTTTGTTGATGTTGCTTTCCCCCTTAATTATATGCATGTAGGTTAAATGAATACCTGACGAAAGGGCCCACGTTTCAAGGCAGTGACATTTGATAGCTGAGAGGAAAAGTGGCTTTAATGAAAAGCAACCTTTGGAATTCCTGCTTGTGAGAAAATCCAATTCAGCTTTTTGTGCTACCAGCAAGAAATGATCAGTAGCACCAGTGTTTATGGTATGTCAGTTTTGGAATTTACTTCCTTTGCATTTAAATAGGGAAGACAAATTAAAGAGCATGATAAAATCATTGGCGTCTGCTTGGGAATCAGATGCTCACAATGTACAGTTCTTTATCAATATGTCTATATCTGTTTATTTTAATCTGTCACTATGCTTTTCTTGCATTTACCAGCACTTGTTTATGTATTTTTAGTTTTGATTAATCCATGACTTGCGGACAGGACACTTTCACTGGTTTTAGCTTTAATCTTGAAGTTGCATGTTTCTAGTTATGCTCTCTGTAGGGCTGAAGTCAAATGATATGCAAATTAGTTTAACTCAGGGTGGGATTTTTTTTTTTTGTTGTTTCTGGGTGGGGGGCAGCTGGATGGAGAGGGTGGGGGTGTAGGGCAAAGATTGCTAACTAATGTGTATGTATATATATAATGTACACACACAGGACTGGATGGAATTTTCTTTTTCTCTTTTTCTCAACCTATGAATGGAATTTGACTGTCTGCTTTCTTGATTGCACTTTATGGAATAATTGGTTCTTCTGTGCGGACCCCCCCCCCCCAATTGGGCAAGTGAGTGAAGGTGTATCTTTTAAATGAAAATAAGATATGTAAGTGCATATTTCTTATTATTCCTGTCCTTAATGTCTTATAAGAAACAGTGGCAGTTTTTTTTCTCCTTTTGCCATTGACTTGTCTGTCTGTCAGCGCTTTTTACTTTTAACCTGTGACAGAATTAAGTACTCGGGCAGTGAATTGACTTTATATGAAATCACTCTTTTCTCTTTCTTTAAAAAAAAAAAAACAAAAGTCAGTTAAATGGAGTGAGGGGGATTTTCGATAGCTCTCGTGGCTGTGCTGTGTGTGTACTTCGTGATATTCAATTACAACTAAAAGAGGACAGCAGCAACTAAAAGATGGGAAAGTGTTTTGCATGGCCAAAGGATATGTGCACTTTAAACTGTCTTTCTTTTTGTTGTGGTTGTTACGTTTTCCCCATGCTATAGATTTCTCTTTAAAAGAATGAAAGGAGGGACAGAAATAAAAGAAAGAAATAAGAGAGGGGCAAAGCTGCCAGCCGTCTGTAGTGTGGCCCTGGCCAGTGCTTTCTCATAGCACAAATGAGAATACTAGGGAAGGGACTTCAGGACTCCTCGCGCGACCTGCACTTCTGCCTGGGCTCTGCTGACTGTAGGACTAAACACACACCACACTTGCAGGATAGGAAGGATTTGATTGGATTTTGCATTTGGAACTTGTTGACTTTGAATCGATCAATAAGAAGACTGTTTATTTTAGATGCACATAATTTGCCCTGAGAAATGTTTTAAGGAGGAGAGAGCACAGCTTTTTTTTTTTTTTCCCCTTTCCCCTGGAGCTGTTGGAGCGAATGGGATTGCCAGATGGGCGATTTCCCTCTGTGATGTTAAAGCTGTAATATATATTCAGAGCAGATTGGGCTGCTGCCTGTGATCAGGAGGATATTACATTTATAAATTTTAAATCGGAGCTCGGACAATGTGCTGAGAGCAGAAATTGGATGGTTTGACTGTTCACCGTATTGATACTTAAACATGGTTTCTGGGTAGTAGTAATACTCATTATTACAATAATAAGTAAAAACAGGCGCAGGCAACAATACCATTGAAGGCATGTAACAGCAAATTGTAGTATGTAAATTACTCTGAGACTACACGTTGCTTACTATTAAGTAATAGTCAGATAATTTATTTCTCTGTGTGTTTAAATGCCGGATGTGCAAATGGTGTTCAGGAGTCTTGTTATCACTCACTGGAATCTGGTAGTGTGTATGTGTACATATGTATGCATATATATACCCACATGTGTATAGAAAGTGACTACATGTATATAGGCATGAAAGGGCACCAGTGGCTTCTATTTTCTCTCACTGTGATTGTTTTTTAGATTTTGTTTATCTCAAATGTGTGGCCTAAAGGAACCAGAGCTACAAACCTAAAAGGCTACGAAGTGGGCAAGTGCCCACACTCAGCAGCTCTGCTGTTGCAAATTAAAAGTGTGTTGTGGTCAGGAAATGAAAGCTACAATGTCTCTTTTGAACAAGTCGTTTATCAAGAGAAACATCTATCAGGGCCTGCCTTGTCACATTGATCCTCTAAAAGTTAGGTCCGAGGTGGAAGCTTCTTTGATGCTTTTGATCCTAAATTTAATACAATGGGGAGAAAAAAAAAAGAGATATTTGGACCAATATAGATTTTTAAAAAATTGTTTCCTGAAACCAGCAAGATCTATTTGTTAGTACCTTACTCTGTGTGAAGTTTACTAGCCATCACAGTTGGGAAAGGATTCAGGGGGAAGTCTCAGGCTTTAGAAATTGATGGTGTTCAACCATACATTTATAATACCTTCAGTTATGAGCAGCTTCTTGATTAATATGGACATTTGAAAAGAGATGTTTTTTACAAGGGAAATTATTTTGAAAGAGTGTTTGGAACAATATTGAGTGTCAGCAGTTTTCATTCATTTAAATGTTGAGTTCTTTCTTCTCTTTATTTTTTTACTCTTGTTGGGGGTTTTAATTATAATTGTGACAAACTGAATTTTATTTGGCCAAGCACTCATTTTTATTTCCTCTCAAACTCTGCCCCCAAACATGCTTGCCTGTACCATTGCTATTGTTTAGTAATTTTGAATATGGTTGGTTATCAATATAAACTATACAGACTTATGAGTCTTTTTGGAGTTTCAAATAGGGGTAACACATTAAGCCTGGTACATTTTCCTGAATACAGTGCATGCATTATTCAAAATTTAAAAACATTGTTAAAATTATGACCTAGTTTTTTTTTTTTCCCCAAAAAAGAAACATTTTGTAAAGACAGCTACAAAGCAGTTTGCTTTATATTTGGAAGCAAAGATAAGAAAGTATTTCTTTGGGATAGAGTTTTTGGATACCTGCCTTACAGTGTTGGTGGTCACTTGTTCTTTCATGTACTCTATTAAATAAGCAGGCGAGAGTGTGGTGGGAGTTTTGAGGAGTGTAATACTTGCTAATTAATCATGTCTGCAATGAAAGAATCATAGCAGGACCATACAATCTCATTGTTGTTTGCCTGGAAGAGGGTGAGACTTTTGTTTGGAAGCTGGACATGTGAGTAGACTCGCTTTGCTTTGCTCTTCTCCTAAACAGAGAGTTTTGTGGGGTCTTTTGGAATTATTTCAAGAAACATTAACAAAATATTTTTTCTTCTCCCACTGAATCTGTGAGGATTTCTTAAACAGCATCTAACCCTTCTGAGCACAAACAGGAATTCTCTCTTTCGTGCTTTCTTTTCTCAAGTTGTATGTAAGACTGCTGCGGTTGAGCTTCTAGCAGAGAATATTTCTCGTCGTGGTTGTTCCCGTTTTCACCGTGAGCAACTTTGGAAAGCATTTTGTTGGCTGCTGCTTCTGATAGACACGCGGGAGAGCAGAAATTTCATTAATTATCTTCAGCTAATACAAGCATGTGGGCAGAGCACAAGAGCACAGAGCTTCTGCAGGAGTCCACAGAGACAATCTGCTGCTCTTTGTAACAGTTTAGAAATTCAGCCTCCTGAAAGAAATGCTTCATTTCCTTCCTGGTAAATTGTTTGGTCCCCCCCCACCCCAGCTCCAGGAGGGCATGCTTAGGTGTGACTCTCTTGCCCAGGGCATGCTTAGGTGTGACTCTCTTGCCCAGGTTATAGAGAGAAGATGTGGAAAGTTTGGAGTGGTTTTCAGGACTGTCATTTCCAGGTGAAGGTGGGCTCTTTGAACTCCCGTTTCTTTCAGGGTTTTTGGAAGCCTAATGATTGTCTAATTAAGTAGTCAGTTTTAATCATCCCAGATCAGCAGAATTATTTAAGTGTATTTGAAACAATTGCAGGCTTTTTTTTTTTTTGTCTGTTTGTTTGGAACTTTCTAGTTGTTCTCAGAGCCTTGCTTTTACAGGAATGTCTGCAGCTTTTATCTTTGATCAATAAACTCTCCTGCCTGAATTCCGAATATTACTTTCTAAAGCGCCACAGGCATTGTTTTGGAGATGATACATTTAATCGCTTAGAATTTAAATTGACTTATGTATTTTTGATAACAAAAATTGTTGCAGACATTTGTGGATATGTTGGCTGTTACTGGTGGAGAGGCTTTTTTTTTAAATCACCATATCAGCTGCTCTTTGAGTTATCGATAAATTGGAATAAGCAAATACAACAGAAGTGCAAGCAGTTAAAATGTCGCATGATTCTTTTTATAGGGATATATAGGAGCTAATATTCTAGTGTCATTTGAACTTAACTATTTTTTCAGGTATTACTAGAATGGCTGCTGTTCAAAAATTGACAACTTATGAACCCACAGTCATATCCTTTTTTTCCCCCTTGGAAAGAATGCAAATAAATGGCATTCTCAGCAGGTATTTCATGGTTAGAATTTTATCACCTTCTTCTTTTAGTCATTTAAAATTTATTTTTTAACTTTTAATTTTTTTTTCCATTTAAGTGTCTGGTAGTAAATTCAAGCATAGACTCTGACAGGAAGGCTGACTGCTAATTCCTGTTTTTTGCTGTTGCCCTTTAAATGACTGTAAGATGTTTACCAAAAGAAATGTAGTCCAAATTAAGAATGGACAAACACGTGAAACCATGGACCTGGCTAAGCCTGGAGGAGATGGAGGGTACTTGTAGTTTCAAGCTAATTGAAAGCAGGTGGGCATGCCAGCTTCCTGGGCTAAGACCACAGGTATCTGCCCAGCCCTGGCATGCCCCTTGGATACCTGTTGACTGGTGGTCACTCAGACTGAGGAGGCAGAAAAGAGAGGTGATGCAAAGCCATGAAAACACTAGATCTCATCTAGCTCTCTGTGAATAATATTTTCGTAATTTCGTGCAACAAACCTGCTCGCTGTGGCTGGCGTAGTGACACTCTGTCTCTCATGGCATGTGGGTGACTGTTCAAGAGCTGCTCTGAGCCGCTCCAAGGGCGGATTTCAGTTCCTGTGGAT